ATTACATGAAAATATTTACTTGCATTTGATGGCCTTAGAAGCTTCCAGATATACTTCATCCTTCCATACTATTTAGTAGCCATAAAATTGGAGAGGAATTGATTCCACTGAGTCCTAAGTGTAGAATTTGATGGTTCTTTTCCCACTGCTACAGTGATTGATTTGGGGCAGGCATATATTTCAGATTGACAACAATCAACACTTTCTTTGTTCTACTTAGATTGTCTGAAAAGAGGAACACACAGGACTTTCGTTCTAAGGTCATGGAAAGCAATTCTCTTTCTCTCACTTGCAGTACGGACAAAGTCACTTGTACGATAGTCTCAATTACTGTCTGCAGCCATTCTATGCCCACGAGAAAAGCAACCTTCAGAAGTAGAGACCACTGTTTATGGAAGAATAGCAAAATGGAAAGATACTGCCCACCAGTAGCACTGCTAATTAACTTTGAAACACTTTTAACCTCTGAACTTCTAGCCCCATGAACCAGTAAATTCCCTTACGAGTTAACTGTTACGGATTTGCTTTTCTGTTACTTCACAGTCCACCATCCATCAAAGAGCATCCTTTGGCTATGAGAATGAGAAAATCCTAGCAAAGAAGATGACTTTTCTGAGAAATGGCTTCTTATAGCTCCCTGTTTTTATCTAGTTCATTTTTACTTGTTTGACACTAGATTCTCTATTAAAAGTATATGAAAGTTATTAAAGAAATGAAAACACAAAAAGAAATTATATTTAATTTTCTAGCTAATGGATTTCTACAATATTTATTAAATGAATAATCAGTAAATAATGATTATGGTTTCTACAGAACTTTAAGTAGCAGAGCATTAGAAGAGACATAAATAATACTTATATTAACAATAGAAATAACCTGAAAGAGAAATTTCTCAGCAAGTATATCAGTCTAACCATGACTATTTGGAATCACACCTATCTCTAGTATCTTGCAGTGTGATGAACATAGAGATAATAGTAGATGTTCTCAAATGTATGAGTGACCCACTCTTGGGAAGTGAAACCTGTAAAAGAAAGTCACTCACAGGAGAAACATAAAAAGGTATTCACCAATATAATAGTCACATTTAAAGAAAACATTGAATGTAAGCCAAAGGATAAATGAGGATTAGCCTGAAATTGAACAACTGTTTTCTAGGTAAACATCAACAATAATATGGAAAATAGAAGAGTACACATTAGGCCCTATTGTTTGAAGGCAATCAAAGACAATCGTGGCTAAGGAAAGAAAAAAGGGAAACTAACTGGAAACATATTGAGCTTCTTAGAACAGCAGAAGACTAAGTTAAGGGTAGGAATGTGGAGAAACCACTCCAGGAAGTGTTCGGTCAGAGTGCACTGCTGACAAAACAGCTAGTGAGGACCCCAGTAGTGACTGTCAGTGGAGCCTGTGGGTATTTCATGGGAAAAGATTGAAGAGAGAATAGAAAAAAGAAGCTACAGATTTAAGAATTTTTCTGTGCAGGGAAGTACAGGAAGATGTGAGATCAGTCTGTCTTTGAATGGCATGTTTTTATGTTGCTGGGACAGAATCCCTGCCCATAACACTTTCCTGAAAGTGGGTCTTTGTGTCATTCACACCTCAGCTCTATGTCACCTCTTATTCCAAATCTCTTTATGCTGTTTTATTTTCTTTATAGCACTTATCTATATCCTGAACAATACTCCATATGTGTTTGATTGTCTCTACCAATTTAAACATGAACTTCATGAGATCAGTAGCTTTTTTTCCTTTTCCAGTGTAACACAAGCATCCAGAAAAATTCCTGTTCTATAGCAGGACCCCAGTAAATATTTGTGAGATAAAGAAATAAGCAAACAAAGGGACACCTAAAGTTGCAAATGCTTGAGATTCGAGGTCCCAGCATCCAAGTGCTGGATAGACAAGTTCAGATATCTCGTAATCCTTTGTCTGGACAGGGACTATTCCCATCTCAGTTATACAAGTGGGAGCTTGGTATCTGAATTTACTGTTTCTCCATAGGTAAACATGAAGGGAGAGAGAGATTTCTCACAAGAAAGTTAGATCCAGCCAGGAACAAATGCTCCCTAAAGTAAGGTGAGAGGAGGAATATTTCTTTCCTGTCCTAAATAAGGTATAAATGAAAAGTTTATATTCCTTCTCATTAATTAAAAGCTTTCAGTCTCATTTCTATGTTTCCCAAGGAAATACTTTATGACCAACTGGGTAAAATCTCTTTGCTCACTTGGATAAACATCTCTCTCCATTAAAACAAGCTGGAAGCCTGGGGATAATTAGACCCACTGTGTCAAGCAATAAAAAACACAGGGAAAAAAGACAGAAATCAAGGACAAATGAACTAATTCTTAGACGAAAACAAAAGGAAAGCTTTTGTAATCAGCTAGAAGATATTTTTGTTGTAGTTCGTGGCTGGATCTGTGTACCTATTTGCTCAGTTACTTTGGTTTCTCTATCATCCTTCCCCTCTTCTGTTGTCTTCCACTACTACAGACACGCTCACCCACAGCCTCAGACGCAGGTACAGACAGACTCTTTGTATTCACCACGAGGAGAACATAATGAATTTCTGCAGCTCAGCTGTTTGAATGGGGGCCACAAATTCAGGGAGAACACTTGGGAGACACTTCTGTTAGCTTGAATTTAGCTTGTTGTTTTTTAAAGTATTTTGACCTCCTAAATTAGAAGAGTTTGGGAAATCCAAGACCTGTTTCATTTTTTTCCTAATAGGGCAGTTATGCCTCCTAGAACAACAACCCTGACGGAGTGGTCAGCTACCTCCACAGGGCTGTCCCAGGACCTAGTTTGTTCCTATCTCACACCATGTCTGGTGCACAGTGGGCTTTCAGGAAATATTTGGAGATGAAATGAAAACACAAGAAACAAAATCTGAGTGCAGAAGTCAGTCATGCAGACCCCAAAGACATCCACCATGGCTTTCTCTCCCCACCCGGACCATGCTACTTCGTGATCAGCCCCTCTCTCATGCCTCTCCCCTCTTTGCTATGCTTGTGTCTCCTACCCTCCTTTGTGATCCTGTTAATACGTATTCGTCTGAGTTTGGTGCAACATCCTGTTAAGTATTAAATGTGTGTACTTCCTAAACCTCTTGGTCATATGCACATGTGTGATTCTATAAAAAGCATGTACATGACAAGCCATAAAGTAAGATTTTTGATTGTACGTAGTAGTATATAAGCACCACAATAAGCCAAGAATGTTTTTCCAGTTTAAAAAAATTTAATTGTGGCAGTGTTGATGATTTATATATTATATTTCTAGAAGTTTTGTTGTTCCTTTTTTCCTTTAGACTTAGACAAGATGTGGTTTTCTTAAAATTAAGTTCAACTTTAAGATTATTTGAATGATTTTCATTCTTTAATAACTGTACTTCATGTAATCATAAAAGCGTAATACCACTGATCTGTTAGCCTTTTCAGTCTAGAATTCTGTAGACTAATATACTTTTAGTAAACCAGATAATGCCTTAACCATCTCCATCTGAAATTTCTCTCCTGTAGTCTTCCATTACTAAGGAGTGAAAATGGAAGTCACTCTGCTTTTCAGGGACTTTTTAAAAGCCTGTTTGCACACCAGCCATACCTCTCTGCCTGTCTGTTTGATCAGTAAGATGTATGATAAGATTGATGACCATTATGAATAATTAGTGCTTACAGTGCCTTCCACCAGCCATTTCTGAGATTACTTTCTTTTCATAAAATACGATGAACCACCTACATGGTGAATATCTGTACATTCCTCTAAAATCCACTAAAGTGTGATCCATTTTCTAGGTTTTCAGTAGGGTGAGCTAAAGAAGCAGAATGGAACAGTAGGTCTGGAGGAAAAAGCAGAAACCTTTCTAGTGGTTCTTATTTAAAAGAAGGAAAACAAAGTATAGGGAAATGAGATGATTTTCTGATACTTCAAGGGCTGCCAACTAGCTTCAAGGGCAACACATTAATTTGTCTGTACACACTTACTTAGGCAGTGTTGGCTTTTCCTCCCAGAACACCCACTGCTCATAGTTTTTATTCATAGGCTTGTTCTATCAAGGAGCTGGGTATCTTGAACTTCATATTGGAGGAGTAAGTAATAATTTTACTTTTTACTTGGTAAGTTCCAACTGTTCCTTATTAATACTATTGAAATTATTTTATCTACATGCTCCTACCCTAGAAACAAATTGTATGATTAGAAAAATTGGAGTCTTTGCTTCTTGGACTTTTGGCTAAGATCAAGTGTAGAAAAATTGGAGTCACATCAGTCTAATTTATTTCATTATGGGTTATAGGACTGGGCTGCATGAGTTCAATATACAGAGGACAAAGCCCAGAGGGGTTTTGGTTTTGATCTGTAGACTGCAGAGTTCTTACTTGTACTTCCTGCCAGAGCAGGAACCGGGCCCACAAATGCCCCTAGGGAGAGATGCAGAAAGTGGCTGGGAGAAAGAGGCTGATACTTTGGAAAACCAACAGGGAAGCTGTAGTGGCTACAGATGAATGGTGACAGTGAGAACACCGGTAATCAGCACAGCGCACCTCCTCTGCCATCCTGTGTTGGGAACAAAAGCTTGAACTAGAACATGGCCCAGGGCCTTGTGAGTCGTCTGTCTGGGGCTTCCATAGGCCTCAGGGGAAGCAGATCATCACCGTGAAGGATCTATTTCTTGACTATAGGTCTGTGTATCCACCCCTTTCAGATATCAGTTGGATGACTGTCTTTTCAGCATGAGTTCTAGACATAAACATGCCCTGCTTTGAGCACAAACCCACTGCCCCCATTCCAGTTTTTTGGGTTTTCCAAAAATGATGACCATGTAATGACTCTTCATCTGTTCTCTTGCCTGGATCTGATTTGGAGATACTTTGAGGGGTGACTGTGGCTTTGCAACTGAGCTTTTTTTCTTTTTTCTTTGGGAAGTTAACTGTCCCAACCATTGTGGTTGCCTAGCAACAAGGGATGGCCAAGGATTCTAAAACTCTAAGGACCGAGGGTAGTTAAGGTCTGTCCAAAGGACACGAGTTCCCAGTGGGCCTAACTAGAGATGGGAGAATGTTACAGCATTAACTCTGTAGTCCCAAATTCTGAAAACACAGAGAGCTACAGGTGAGTTTCCAGCTCCTCTTGTCCCAAAATAACCCATGGGGGTTTCTAGATAAGGTAACCTTCACTCAGTACTTTAAACATAACTCTCCTTTAAAGTCTGTGGGAAAACATCAAACAGGCTTTGTCCTTTCCTGGAGAATGACCTTTTTCTTTGGATGAGGCAGTCTTCCCAGATCATAGGGCAGGGCCTGACACACACTAGGTTTCAGTAAATATCTGTTGAGTGGATAAAAGGTCCTTCATGTAGACTTCTCAGAAACACACTATTGCCCACCCCAGCTGTATTCCCAGTGGGAAGGGATAGAACGCTGAACCAGCTTTCTCCATGGAGAATCACTGATAGGCAATGTCTCCATCACCACTCTTATCAAAGCTGGGTCATTCATTCTCTTCGAGTTTCCCCAGTTAAAGACCCAAACCAATCCTGGCTAAAAGTACAAGTGTTAAAGTATAGCTCACGTGCAGTCAGTCACTGGAAAACTTGTCGGTTGACTCAACGCTTCTCCTCTCTTCAAATGTGGAAACAACAGCTGTGCTCCCCTCCGTGGAAGCACCTGGCTCTGGAGATGAAGTTCATCTGTGAGGTGCTCACCCGACTCTGCGTCTACTTTGTTTAGTCTTAAAACATAGCTTCTTTATGTGAACGTACAAATGTCCTTTTAACCTTGCGTCTGTGGTCCATGGATGCTATGGAAAATTCATGAATCTCTGATATTTGATGGAAACTGTCATTTCTATCTACACAGAGTCTCAAAAGATGAATGATCTCTGGGAGGGAAAAGGGATTTTTTTGTCTGTTAAAGCAAATGAAATTTAGAAAATATTTCTTTATTTGATTGCCCCTAACAAATCACCTGAAGAGATATGTCAATGTGCAGACAGGTGGAGAGACGAACATAATGTTGCCCAATGGAAGAAAAACGGCCTGTGATTAACAAACTTGACACGAATAGCACTGTATAACCAGCAGGGAAGCAAGTCAGCAAGCAGAACACTTCTCACTGTAAATTACCACTAGCGTTTTTGTCTTCCTGGCTCATGGAGCCAAGCATTTTGTTCAGGGAGCAAGCAGGCTTTTGTGATGGGGTTCAAGAAATATTATGCTAACTTTTCTGATCCTGGGTGGGTTTGCTTTAGCTCCTACACTTCTGAGCAGGAACAAACTGGACTTTTGGCTTGGCCCCCCGCCCCCGCTTTTTCTCATGCCCTTGAGACAGACCTTCTCCACAGTTTATGTAAACTGAATGGTAACTTCTTAAGTTGTCTAAGCAAGACAGAATTAGGCCTGGATGCAATTAACCTAGGGAATGAAAAAGCATTTTCCCAGGAAATCCTCTGCCATCAGAATTGGATGCTCCAAAGCTTGTTTCCAAATCAATTTCATTAAAACAATTTATCCACATGGGCTAACTGTTGACTAATTAGCATCCTAATTCAGCATGAAAATTATGGAATAAATAAAGTTTAGAATAGTTTAGAGATCAGATAGAAAGATATTTCACTAAAAGGAGGAAAATTCTTATATTCTTATAAAACACTGAAAAAATACTGCTGTGATGTTTATATGTCAGATTATTACTTCCTACCAATAGAAATTTAAAGTAGTTTTTTCAATTTCTTCATTAACCTTGAAGAAAAATTGCAAAATACAGCTTCATAAACACATTCGTTAATGCTAGTTTGTTTTATCTCAAGGCTATTAGGCTTTCTAAAACTTTCCTTAATTATTGTACAACATGGTTTCTCTGTGTATGCTGTTACTATGGTTACTCTGAGACCACGATTTGTGACATTTAAATATTATTGTCAGGTAGCCAAAGTACCCTCATTTTAAATCCATAGTTTTTGTTTCAGGCATTATTATGAGGGTAGTTTCAAAGAATGCCTTCTGTGATGCATTTGTAACATATAAGAACATATACCTGTGAGTTTATATGTGCAGTGTTATGTTTTGCTTGGCTTCATTCAGTGACTGAATTTCTTTCTTGGCTTGTCATTGGGAGAATAAAAAGCAAACAAATCATAGTCCTTGTTCTCTATGAAAGTAACAATGAGAAAATGCAAAAACATGGTAAACGGATAATTGTCTACATCATGAAACATAAAAAAGGATATGAGACTGACGTCTAAAACCTGCTGATGAAATACAGAGGCAAGTTAGCCTTCTGACTGGCAGGGTTAAAGAAACTCAGGAAGAGGCAGCACTAAGGTTGTATTGTAAAGAAATGGCAACACTTCAACATTCAGTGAGAGAGCATGAATCTTCTGGTTGGAGGAAAGCAGTTTTAGAAAGCATAAACACGTATTCTAGAACCAATAGGTAATATGGTTTAGTGAAAATATCAATTTTATGAGGCATACTCATAGAAGTTATGATTAGTTTGAAAGTAAGAAGGCCTAGTTTATTGACGTCCTTCAAAGCAATTTGCTGCTTTGTGCAGAAACTTTCATGTTGGTTTCTAATTCATTATAAAGAGGTACTATCAAATAGAAAACATTAATTTACTGGGTTTTACTGTTTTCAAGATGATGCAGGAAAACAATTATATCTCTCCGAGTTCAATGTCTCCTTCCACTGAGAATTTCACTAATTTTGTTCAGAAGTCACTGATTACTCTGTGAACATTTTAAGTGGTTCTACATTTTTTTTGAAAAGTGGTTAAATTGAGGTCCATGTGTAGAAATACAGCAATTAATATTTATTTGGGAGACGGTGGGATAGGAAACACCTTGAAATTTTAAAGTGAAACTTATTAGTTGATAAGAACAGTGTTAAACCTACTAAATTTACGAAGTTTATTAAATTATTTGCTTATTCAACAAATATTTACCCACCATCTTATCTGTCTTCAAGATAATGGTAGAAATATCAAATCGTGAGAAAAAATATCCTAGATTCAAGAAGTTTAACTTGTTAGTCGAAAGAGACACTATTAATACAATAAATAAGCAAAATATATATGTAGCATGTTTGAAAATGGCAAATACTACAGAGAAAAATAAAGTAGGTTCAGAGGTGAAGGCTTCAATTTTACGGAAAGTCCCGATAAGACATGATACCAGTAAAAGGCGATTTTTGAGCAAAAAAAGAAACAATAATAAAGTAAATGATAAGATGCGAAGAAGATAATATTACTAGGGCTTTGGGATACCCTGGGAGTCAAGTGAAGAATGTATGTCTGTCTGTTTGTGTCTATCTTTCTTTCTCCCTTCCTTCCTCCCT